ACCCAAAGGGCATGTTGTGGAGACAAGCTGCATTGTCTCACTTTGACATTGCCTTCATATCACATAGCTTCCATTGAAGTAAATATAACTTGTTTTATACAGGCCTAAAAAGGTGCTACCTGTTGGGAACAAAATATCAATGCTATATCCAATAAGCCAACTTCAGGAGAACATGTCATAATGTTCTGGGAACCGTAACAGAAATGGCCTTTTGCCAAATTCCTCATTTCCCCTGGTTGAAGGAACACTGAATTGAGTTTCTCTGTGGGAATTTGCATGACAGAAGTTAGTTTGTACGTATTCTGTACTGTATGCAGTTGCTTGTGAAGAAGAAAACCATCAAAGTTCATCTTAATTACATTGAAGATCTTCTGCAAAGTTAACTGATAGGCATTGCTAAATATATCTGCTATGATATGGTTGTAATTTTTTTTTTAAAAAAATAGATGTTACCAGTATGGAATAAATACTTACTTCATAAGTATCTGCTTATATTGATGATGTTGTAATCCATTAGATTTATTTTTTCCTAAATAATACAGTCTCAGTGATCAAGATTTTTTTTAGTTGATTGGATGGATGCAGTGAGAAAAGTACAGATTAACTAGATTTCAGTCTTATTTTTCAAAATGCTGACATACATTAAAAAAAGAAAGAAAAGAGATCTTCAAATGTCAATCGATTTCTTTTGACAAATTCTAGGGGTATCACAAATACTCATAACAACACTTCATACAGCTTTATTTTATTTGTTAGTTTATTGTTTGGCATGCCTGTCCTGTCTCTATGCCTACATTAAATTGTATGTTGAATGTTTGTATATAAGTAAGCTATTTACCTATATATCTGTATTGCATAATTGGTCGGATCTTGCAACGGGCAATACATGAAATACATTCTTCTGCTTGAAGACTTGTAGGAAGGTGACTCTTAAATTCTCCATTCTATTTCTCAGTTCAATAGAAAAACAAAGCACCTTTGAAGGCTTATTTCAATCCTTGTCCAGGTGCTTCCATTGCTTTTTATACAGCAGTTAAAAGTTATGGGCCCATGTTCTATGATAGCAATAGCTTTCTTCGTCTAGGTTATTAATGGTCTTACTTCACAACTTCATTTGTCACCTATAATGTAGTCTTATTGCATATAGCTAGAAAGATGAAGGTAGTTTAATACTTTCAAGGAAAATACAAGTTCAAACAAATATCTTGGCAGGGATGATTCAAACAAATTAAGATTTATATTCAAATTGTGGCCCTTGAGCCCTTGGCAAATTGCCCATCTATTCCTTGATGTTAAGCAAAGAACTTACTTTAACACAAGGAAAATGATGATGTAATCAAAATCACCTGTATACATAAACAGGTCTATTCATTTTTTTCTCTTCAGTAAATAAAGATGTATAGAAGTATGGCTATATGGATTTTGAAAACCTTGTTCTACAGCAGCTCCAGGTTTTGGGAGGCTTATCTTGTCTTGACATGCAATGTTGTTCCATCATTCCTCTGATCCATCTCAGCTGATCTCAGTGAAGAAATAAATATCAAATAAAAGATCAGGCATCAACAAGGAGAATGAAGAGAAAAGTCTCTATCCTGGAGTGGAAGGAACTGATTTTGAAATTATAAGTGACACCCTTCCCAATATTTGAAGAGTACTTTCTGTCATAGTCTCTCAGTTGTCTTTTCTAAAGGGTAAAGATTCCCAGCTCTTTCCAACTCTCTTCTTTGACTTAATCCCTTTATCATTCTCACTGTCCTTCTTTGAATCACTTCTAGTTTGTCAGAAACCTTCTTAAAGTAAGTTATTGAGAACTGAATACAGTATTTGAGATAGATTCTAGCCAAAGAAGAATAAGTAGAATTTTATGTTTCCATGCTCTATGGTTTTAAAATTATATTTCTGTTGATATAGCCTAAAATTGCATTTGCCTTTTTTTTGCAGTCACATCTACTGCTGACTCATTCAATTTATGATCAACTACTATTACAAGATATTTTTCACAAGTATTTGGGTTTTAGTTTCCTAGGTAAAGAATATTTAATTTGACTGTTAAGTTTCTTACTGTTCATTTTTTCAAACCTATTAAGATTGTCTTGAATTTTCATTTAACAATTGTTTGAAGTTATGACAGCCTGAGAAAAGGTGTCTTAGAACCCATCTTCAAATTTACAACCATTGCACAGATGTTCACCTGCTGTCACATGATTGCAATTTGGATATTTGGCAACCCGTTTGCATTTATGATGGTTGTGCAACTTGCGATCATGTGATTGCAATTTGCAGCTTTTCCAACTAGCTTCCAAAAAGCAAAGGGGAAGCAAATTCGCTTAACCACCATTTATTTAATGATTGTGTGATTCACTTAATCTACAGTAAAATGGTCATAAAATCAGGTCTAGTCACATGATGATTCCCTTTATGACTTTACCAACTTAACGATCAAAATTCCAGCCCCAATTGTGCATAAGTTGAGGACTGTCTATACTTATCATTTGATGTCGCCTCAATTCCTACCATATATTAAAAGAAATTACCTAATGGGGGAGAAATACAATTTCTTTGGCAAGGTTTGTTAACAAATCCATTTTGATATCTGATGGTTACTGCATTTTTTTCTGAGTTCCCAGTAGATAGATCTCTTTCTAATGTACTTCTTGGATACTAGTTACCCCAGTACAAGAAAGACATTGGGATCCTAGAAAGAGTGAAGAGAAGAGCAACAGAAGTGTTAAGAGGTTTGGAGGTTAAACCATACAATGAATGGTTGAGGGAATTAGATATGTCTAATCTAACAAAGAGAAGGATTAGGGGTGACATAATAGCAGTCTTCCAATACTTGAAGGTCTAACACAGAGAAGAGGGGGTCGACCTATTTTTCAAAGCATCCGAGGTCTGGACAAGAAGTAACAGGTGGACCATTATTAAAGAAAGATCCAACCTAGGACGGAGGAGAAATTTCCTGACAGTGAGAACAGTTGATCATTGGAATGGTTTACCTCCCAAAGTTATATCTACTCCATCACTGGAGGTTTTCAAGAACAGACTGGACAGCTATTTGCCTCCTGCTTGAGCAGGGGATTGGACTAGAAGATTTCTAACCCTATTATTCTGTGTCCTATGAATGATTTCATAGATCTCCCATGATGTAACTAGCTGGGGAATACAGTGAACTTATCAAGTAGCCATTTTATTACAATAGAAAATTATAAGATTTACGAATGTTTGCTTTTAAAGTTCTTAACTTAAATTTTCTTTGATTCTTTAACTTGTTTTATCACACTTGCATACTCTTTTCATTTGTATACTTTTAATGTCTGAATTCCCTCAGTTCTTTGATTTTACAGTCAATTCTATTAGAAAGCAACAAATAAATGCATTTCAATTTTTTAAACTATTTGAAGAAAACTCTCGAAAAGAATATGAAACAGGAATTGCTCTATTTCACATTGATAAATGAAGAAAAAACAATAAGTTGTTTAGATTGGGTCCAGTCTTTGTTAAATGTAGAGTAAGCAACCAAGGGTTTCAAAAACTTTGATTTGGATTCCTGCACTCAGCAAAAGGTGGCACTCAATAGCGTAAATGGCCCTTTTATGATTCTGTTACATTCTGATTTCCAAAGTGAAAAAGTCATATCAAAAGATGCATGAAGTTCCATCTATGGTACTTCTTTTGTCACTTATCTCTTTAGTACCACTCATGAATTTGCATGGACTTTCTGAAATTTTTTATTTTTTAGAATTTACCTGTTGAATTCCAGATTCGCATCTTGTTTTTAAAAAAATTAGCTTTATGGACCTAATGGCTATGCACTTTTCTGCTTCAAATATAATATATTTCTTCTCCCCTGAAAATTAGCAAAAAGCATGCAAACATTATTTTAGGTTGTCTTGCCCTAATATGCAACCTTGGGTGGCTTAGGTAGAGAAATTGCTGATTTTCCAGATGAGGAAAATGCAAAAATGGTTTCAAAGAAGAGGATTTTTAAATTCCTCACCTACTCAAGTGTGGCAGAGTACTCTTTCTTTGACAGGGATTGCAGGAATGTGCTTGGCCAGCTGAACATCAGGAAGCTGTTGGCTGGCTTGGACTAGGATAATTCTGGGTGGAGTTTTGAAAGGGTGGGCAATGGTGGATTTTATCCTCCAAAGCATTAGCTATGTTCCAATCTGTTTTAAAAGTCATGCCTTTCTCTTTGTTGTTTGTACTTAGAATACAAAGAGCTGAATATCCCTAGATAGTAGGTACTTAGGGTAAGCTGATAGTCAGCCCAACCGACTATCCTAGATAGATCACACTAGCCAAATAATACTGCTTTGCTATACATTTAATTATAAAGCTTCTGTCCATCTACCAGCAAGCACATCAACAGTTTATATCTGAAGCCATAAGAATACTAGGATAACACCATTGCCTTGCATTTAATGACATTCTGTTTCTACTTTGTTTGGCAAAGGCATTAGAAATGTGTTTTTTGATTGGACCATTCATTTACATTTAGAAAATATTACCCACCCAGGAGATCTTTCTGGCCTACAGCAGCATTCCCCAACATTTCTGAGTGGCAGCAGGTGTGTGAGTGGGGCTGCAAGCACTGGCGCCCACTCATGTGGCCAGTTGCCAATAGGCCATGGCCCGGTAGTGGGCCATGACCCAGAGGTTCGGGACCCCTGGCCTACCATATGTTGAAATCTCAAACTCTTCTCTATTTTGATACAAAAAAAAAGTTTAAACTGCATGATTTGACAGCACTGGGTCTACCTGCATGAATGCAATCCATTTTAGAAATAATTTGAAGACAGTATTTCAGGATCTTTATGAATCTGTTTCATAGAGGTATTGCAGTGAAATAGAGAAAAGGTAAATGGATAAATTACATTACATACATTACAAAAGTGAATAGGTTTGTATATTTGTTTTTAGTTATAATATCAAGTGACCACTGGTAATGGTGTCAGCAACACTGATTTAACATAATAAAGTACTTTTTTTCCCCACAGTAGGTAAACCTCATAAATGTAACTACTGTGGACGAAGCTACAAACAGCGCAGTTCTTTGGAGGAACACAAGGAACGCTGTCATAACTACCTTCAAAATGTCACCATAGAGTCCACGGGGCAAGTGATAAGTCATGGTGAGCAGAAATGTTGCAAATGTTTCTTTTGATCTTATTTGCAATATACAAGAAAGCAACAAATATGTACAGAGGTAGGCTCATGTTACTTAACATGATCTGAATTTTAATTAAAACCCACTTCTAAAAATGTTGCAATATAAAGTTGTAGTTCCAGTTATGGCAACAATTTATTTATTTATTAAATTTATATAATTGTATAAACCCTCAACTTTTACAGAAGAAATATCCTAACATCCTCAGAATTGTTTGGTGGAGAAAGCAAATGGTGGTTTTTAATTTTGAGCCACACGCAAACAAACTGGCCACCTGTTCTGTTGTTAACCTGGAGCAGGCTGATGTCTCCCGTACTTTCTCTCTACCCCTACACCTGTTCCACTAACAACAACAAAAAGAGAATACAAAGAATTTGGCCACAGGTGATTGATCTCCAAGATGGGAAAGTTTCTACTGGTTAGAAGAATTACTTTGTTAATTCCTTAAATTGAATGACTGTAAAATGGCATTAATGAATATTAGCATATGATTTTGTTTTAATTAATGGGTCATCTTGTGAACATAATATAGTAATTTATGTATCATCAATTGTTAAACTTGACAACAGATATTTGTTGCAATGCTATGTTTTTTCCCTTTAATTTACACAAATACAGTTTTTTCATGTTCTTGGTAACATATTGCTTTATGGTGGAGACACTGTGCTTTTCAGATGGAGCATTATAAAGTGAATTATCAGATTGATGATGTTGGCAGTTGTTGCAAAAAATTGAAAAATATTCTGCAGTGAAGCATCTGGATAAAGATGACCTTACCTGAGATGTAGGTCAAGTTTTAAAAGCAAATTAAAAGAAACACAAATATCATTAAATGTGTATTTTCACTGCCTAGTATAATGTAATCTAGTAAGCCTTCTGTAGACATTCTCTATCTGTATGTAATCCATTAAAAGAGGGATAGCCTTTCCAGAAGGCTGAATGACATAGAGCATGGGTGTCAAACTTGATCGCATCACGTGATGTATCATGATATATTGCGACATTTTTTGCCTTTGCGGAGCCGAGATGGGCATGACCTGCGCATGACACATTTGGCCCGCAGGCCGCCCATTTTACACCCCTGACATAGAGACATCACTGGAAGTAAAATTTGGGGGCTTTTTCTTTCAGAGTTACAAGGGTTAGGATGCAAAGGAGGTTTTTAGAGGGCATATTGCTGCCGTTCTTATCCTTAATTCTGAAAAACAACAATATCGAAACAGAAAATCCATAGAAAAAAAGCAGCCATTTTCTTTGGAAGTGCAGTTTTAGGGGCTGCAAATGGAGACCAAATGCAGCTATTAACTGCACATTCTACCCAGTCAACCTGAAGAATGGGTATCTTACCCTGCAGATTTTTTTCATCTATATATCCAGGACACTACTGTAATGCCCAGAGTGATCTATGGTTTGTATAAAAGGAAGCAATCAGTTCACCAATGCCACTTTCAAGTCTCAAGTGTCACTTGTTGCTTGTCACATTATTGAAACAGGTATTTCCTTTCTTTGGAGCTGTAGGTTTTTCCAGGGAGAGACCTTCTTCCCTTGATTCATACAAGCTTTAAAAAGATGAAAGAGCCTTCACTGTATGGGAGAAAACTAGTAGGGATCATTCATGGCCTTTATTTGAACATAATGTTGAATCATTACAGAGCTTTTTTTTTTACATATAGTTTGGCAAACTTTATTAATGTCTTTGTAAATTATAAAGAAAAAGAGGAAGGCACCACTTTGCCAATTTGGACATCCTGACAAAACTGTACAGTTAACAAAAAGCAAGAAAGGAAGAGGAAATCTGCATGCAAGAGGGAAGGAGAACTACCATTGCTTTGCCAGATTATGGCCTCATTTTTTACCTGAGCCATTGCAGTAAATGTTTTAGAATATCAATCCACTCTCTCTGCCTTTTGATGTTCTTCAGTCATGCAGTAGACTTGGAAGCAGGTGACTAGTCTGTTGCATTATTAGAAAATATCTCTCTCTCTCTCTCTCTCTCTCACACACACACACACACACACACACTTAACAATTTTTTTTGGCATGATCATCTAAAAGAATAGGCACCATCTGTGACCAGGATCATGTAGTCAGGAATATGAGTGAATCAGGTCGGGGCTGGTCAATGACCGATGTACAATGAGTGACTGAGTCAGGTCAGCTGGGCTTCTAATGCTACTTTGATTTTGATGAATGAGCAGGAGAGATATTTTTTGCCTAGCAGTCAACTCTTTCTGCTTCCTATATCATTTTTTCTGGGTTTCAGAGTCCTGGCAGTATGGTTTCTAGGCTTCTAAAATATGTGCCTGCATGTACAGTTAATTTATAAAACAAGAAATTAAATATATTTGGAAGTCATATTTTTGAAAGTTCTTCTCTTTTGTTTTCAATATATGAGAAATAGTTCCATTTTGATGATGGTTTTGGCAAACCTAGATGCATTAGATGTATAATGCCTGACAATATACTCAGTCATGGCTTCTCTTTTGCCAAGATTTCAAGTTAAACCCTTTTCATGGTGGCTTTTAGTTATTCAGAGAACTTCCCCAAAAATGTTTGTGTCTGAATGTGTTTTCCAGTTTTTTATAGACTATTTATTGTGTCAATTACAAGTAACAAGTTTCTTCATTTGTTTATTTAATGTTATTTAAGGTTTCTCTGTGTTATTTTTAAATGATGGAGGGAAGGCTTGGTGCATGAAAAGAACAAGGCTTATTTGAGTAAATATTTAAACAATACAAAACAATATAATTCTCAGTAACAGTGTCCCATCACTCAAACTTCTGTTACAGTTATACTTGCCTGGGTTACTCTTCTGGCTGACCCAATTTTGATCTGGACTATGGTATTGGAGCAGTATTCAGTACTCTCCATTCCAAGAAATTATTAACTGAAATCATTTAAATATTGAGATAAGAGTAAGGGAAGTGAGTGAAGAAGTGTGACAAATATTTCAACATTCTTTCTGGCCAAACATAGTTGTGGCATGTCTTTGTAACAGATAAAAAGCCTAGAAGCAGAGAACCTGTAGATCCCATATTATGAAAAAACTATTTAAATACTTACATACTAGGGTGATAATGTTATTTTCTCTGTGTCTTACTGTTTAAATTTATTATTCTCAGAGAACAACAAATAGCACTATGAATTGTGGGAAGTTAGCTACAAAGAGTAGATGCTAAATTACAAATCTAAAAAGGAGATCCCATGGATACTTTCTTCATTAAGCATAAACTCTGCTGAATATAGTGCACCTGTTTTCAAGCTGGTATTTTGAAGACAAAAATGTATATAAACATCAAACAGTTGTTGATATCTCAATAGTTTTGACTTAAAGTTCATGATTACAAGGAAAAATACTTATAATTCAATATCTTAACACCCATTTTCAGTCCTTTTGAAAATAAACCTGAACTCTTGTTTGTACTTCCATTTACTGGCAGTTGGATTTCCATAGTAAATGAAAATTTATTATGTGTGTCTCAGCAAATAGTAGCAAAGAAATAATTGACATTCTTCTTTCTTGGTAGCCTATTTATAAAATAGATATAAATTAATTATTAATTGTGTCATTTCTGTGAACTGGAGGTTTTATTAGAATGCTTTACTATTAAAGAGGATACCACCACCATCACCATCAACTACAGACACATATTGTAGGTTTATCTTAAATCAGCATATTTCAGTCACACCTACTGGAGGACATTCATAAACACTTAATTTAAAAAAATGAGAGCTCAAAGAGATATGCCTTCAGAAAAAAGAAAAACCATAGAAACAGAACAAAATGTTACAGGGCTCACCATCAGGTTGGGAGCAAAATGAATCCTTGGGGCCTGGTATTCAGGGGTTCTACTAATGACACTGTTTAATAGAAAGGAGATAAAATGCATTCTCTCTGTCAAATTTTATGGGAGAAGAAAAATTATTGAAGCTAGGCAATCACTCAAATAATCAGGCTACATGGCGTAAAAATTGTAGGTTGTATGACGTTGTTGTTAGTTGCGAAGTCGTGTCCGACCCATTGCGACCCCATGGACAACATTCCTCCAGGCCTTCCTGTCCTCTACCATCTTCTGGAGTCCATTTAAATTCACACCTACTGCTTCAGTGATTCCATCCAGTCACTTCATTCTCTGTCATTCCCTTCTTCTATTGCCCTCAATCTTTCCCAGCGTTAGGCTCTTCTCCAGTGAGTCCTTCCTTTTCATTAGGTGGCCAAAATACTTGAGTTTTAACTTCAGGATCTGGCCTTCTAAAGAGCAGTCAAGGTTGATCTCTAGGACTGACTGGTTTGATCACCTTGCAGTCCAGGGGACTTGCAGGAGTCTTCTCCAGCACCATAGTTCAAAGGCCTCAATTCTTTTACGCTCAGCCTTTCTTATGGTCCAACTTTCACAGCCATACATTGCCAAAGCCAATGAAGAACACCAGACACAAGGTGCAGGTTTTGTTTCTTTTTATTGAAGCACTTCAAGGAAAGGGGTCCTGGCCAAAATACCAAGGAACCCCGAACCATAGAATTAAGAAAGGTTTATACATTTTCAGTAAAGCAGAAGGCAGGATATATAAGAAACATCATCTAATTAAACATTTTAGTAAAGATCTAACAATTATTCTATTGGTCTCTAGCCCTCCCTATTCCCAAGCCTTGGCTAATGAATGCTTCCAGAGTTATCTAATACACATTCTATTTGCTCCAGGCCATCTCTATTCCTAGCTTCTAGCTGAGCTATGCAAGATGCCTAACTCTTTGTTACTTTTATCAGTTTCCTAACCACCCAGAATTGTTACAAGCTTTACACGTGCATATTCCCTATGAATAAGCACTTTTTGTTCTTGCCAGACAGATTCCACAATTACAGGCTTCCCAGTCTCCTTGCTTGTTTTACCAGTCAGCCCATCATTAGGCTTACCATTATTCTTCCTTACTGACCATGCTGCCACATTTGAGAGCAGCAGCTGTTT